CTGCTGCCATTGAAGTTTTTTCCAATCATCGTCATTGGGATCATTGCACTGATATTAGCACTGGCCATTGGTCTGGGCAGTGAGTACAATCCATTATTTAGCAGGCTCTCAAGTCCCTATGCAAGTGTTAAAGCTTTCATGAGCTCCCCCCACATCTGTGTTGTGCAGCAGCCCAACTGTCGTTACTGGAGGCAAACAGCACTGGGTTTGCTGACCTGACTTGGGGCTTTATCTGCCTGCATGAATGTAAGTCCAGTCTGGGGCCCAGCAGGGGCTGTTGGCCATGCTTGGAGCTTTGTCACCAAGGAAGCTGCCCAGTTAGATGTGTCCAAAGTCAGCTGATGAAATAAAATCCTGCGGGTGGGAAGGGGGGAGCCAACCTGGGTGGAGAAGACAAAGAGGCCCGTTCACTCAATGCCAGGCACACCAGCTATTTTTATAATAAGGTGAATGTGGCTTTTGAGAAAGTGGGTCATTTGGATGGAGAGTGCCTAATGGGGACACATTTCTCATATTGTCTTTCAAATAATTGGATTGGAAATCAGTTTAATTTGCCACCTGCATGGCTGTGTGGTTCACAGTCCTTCCTGGAGTCAGAGAGAACAGGGTGGCTGCAGTTCTTAGTCCGACCTCTTGCTCGGCCGGCTCAGTGGGTCCACCCACAGCCACACAGTTTCTCTTTTGAACTTGAGCCCTCCAGAGTCTCAATGCACCTTGAGTTGTGGCTCCCGGGCCAGGCTGCTTAGGGAGACAAAGTGGGGTGCAGGAGCCCCTCCCCCTGGAATGCAGAACAGAAACTGGGCTGAAGAAACAGGCTGCAGAGAGGGATGCCATTTCAATGCAGGTTTCATTATTCATGGGCGAGCCCAGTGCTGTGTGGCAGGTGTATAGTCGTTGGTGCTGCACACTGAAAGAGCTGTTCATTAACACTCCCGCCTTCCTCCCCTTTTCTCAGTCCATTTTGACTGCTCTGGGAAGTACAGATGTCGTTCGTCTTTTAAGTGCATTGAACTGACGGCTCGATGTGATGGGAAGTCAGACTGTAAAGACGGGGAGGACGAGTACCGATGTGGTGAGGTCCTGTCTTTTCACCATAAAGAGGGAGGAGGTCAGCAGAACCCAATCCTGCCCCTTCCCACCTGTGCAGCAGGTCCATGTCCTGCCACTGTCATGTCATGTCCTGCTGGGATTCATCTGGCATTTGGCTGGGGAGCTCCTGGGCTGGGTGTTCAGGGAGGGCCATTCCATGGAGCTCAACTGCAACTGGGGAAACTACACAGGCAATAAATAAGACGAGACCTCCAAGAAGTCCGGGTGGGGGTCCAGACGGTAGGAACTGTGGCTGCTCTGCCAGGGGGAGGCCATGCGGATAAGCAGCAGGTTGGATGCACTGAGGAGGGCTTGGGCTGCTGTGGGCACTGTCCCACTCACAGCACCCTCTCCCCGGGTGCCGGCCAGTCCGGGTCAGCGGCCAGAGCGCTGTGCTCCAGGTGTTCGCAGCGGCTTCGTGGAAGACCATGTGCTCTGATGACTGGAAAGAGCACTACGCAAATGTCGCCTGTGCCCAGATGGGTTTTCCAAGGTAAGTTCTGACCGTTTCCAGCCCGTTGGGAAAGTGGTAAGTGTGGGAGCGGAGAAGACAGGCGGCTGCGGCCTGGCTGGGCGCTGCCAGCACTTCCACACGTGGCCCTGCTCCAGCCTCACAGCTGCCGTGCGCAACGTCACCCGCATCTCACAGACGGGCAGGCCGAGGCTGGCAGGCCTGGTGACTTGCTCATGGCACATGGAAAATGGCATCTTTGGGGTTCCTCAGGGTCAGGGCAGGACCCTAGATGCAAACGTGCAATGAAGGGCCCTGGAGGTGAAAGCTGAGTCCTATGGCTCCTCATTCCATGGCCTTTGGAGTCGCTTCCTGGACACGTCCTGCTTGTCCTGGTGGTCACACCCACGTCCACACACACTTCCCCAAGAACCCCAAAGAACAAAACTTGGAAAGTCAGAAATTTAGTGAAAACTTCATCACTCAAAACAGCTGTTTAGCAAAATGTAGAGGATTTTTCACTTTTCCACATTTGGTGTTGCCTACATGAGTTTTTTGCATCGGAGTGACATATTTTTGCCCAGACCTATCTTCCTTCTCTCTGCTGGCCCCTTCCTCCTGACTCCCCATGGTGGCCATGCTCCCGTGGGTTCCCTAAGGTCACGCTTGCTCCTCTTCACTCTCAACTCTCAGAGTTCAAAGCAGGCAGGCTCTTTGCATTCCCACGCTCACCTTAGGAACTGAGCAGGGCTGAGAAGGGCGGACTTGGAAATGCTTCTCTGCACCCAAGAAACAGTCATCAAAGCCACACTGCTCTGAGTCCTCGACTTCCAAAATTGATGCATCATGTTCTCAGCACCCTTTCTGCAAAGCAGGTGAAACCTGTAATATCTTCCACCTACGTCCCCGAGGCCGGGCTCCTCCTCACGCAATGCCAACCTGATTCAGAGATCAGCCACATTCCAAGTTCAATGACAACAGCAAAGGCCACTCACATGAATGCCTTCAGGAATGGTGTAGACTTTACTGCTCTGAGACAAGGAGGAGGAAGCTCACACCACACCAACACCCACACCCGCACGTGCACATGCACGCACGCTCACACACACACTCACACACACACACATGTGCATGCTCACACACACACACATGCACGCTCACATATGCATGTTCACACACACACATGCACACTCACGCATGCTCACACACACATGCATGCTCACACGTGCATGCTCACGCACACACATGCATGCTCACACATGCATGCCCACACACACATGCATGCTCACACATGCATGCTCACACACACGCACACTCACACATGCATGCTCACACACACACATGCATGCTCACACACACACATGCATGCTCACACATGCATGCTCACACACACACACATGCACACTCACACATGCATGCTCACACACGCATGCTCACACACACACTCACACACAGCCCGCTGCAAGCAGCTGCGAGCTTCTGCACCAGGCATTCCTGTTCCCTGCTGGTTCCCTTCTCTGACTCACCAGCAGCAGGGAGGGGAGACCACTTTCTTTTCCCTTCCCCCCTCCTCCTCTCTCTCAGTGTACCACCCTCTCCAGGCAGATCCCAAGGCCTCTTTGCCCTGTTTTGTAGAATGCTCAGCGCGAGCCCTTTCCCACCCCGTGCTCCCGGGAAGCAGTTAGGGCCCACCCCACAGTATGGGCAGCCCTTAGACATCCCTCTCCCCTCTTGTCCCTTGTCCCTCTCCAGCCGTTTGGTAAAATATTCCTTCCTACCATTAAAATGNTAGTGAAAACTTCATCACTCAAAACAGCTGTTTAGCAAAATGTAGAGGATTTTTCACTTTTCCACATTTGGTGTTGCCTACATGAGTTTTTTGCATCGGGGTGACATATTTTTGCCCAGACCTATCTTCCTTCTCTCTGCTGGCCCCTTCCTCCTGACTCCCCATGGTGGCCATGCTCCCGTGGGTTCCCTAAGGTCACGCTTGCTCCTCTTCACTCTCGACTCTCAGAGTTCAAAGCAGGCAGGCTCTTTGCATTCCCACGCTCACCTTAGGAACTGAGCAGGGCTGAGAAGGGCGGACTTGGAAATGCTTCTCTGCACCCAAGAAACAGTCATCAAAGCCACACTGCTCTGAGTCCTCAACTTCCAAAATTGATGCATCATGTTCTCAGCACCCTTTCTGCAAAGCAGGTGAAACCTGAAATATCTTCCACCTACGTCCCCGAGGCCGGGCTCCTCCTCACGCAATGCCAACCTGATTCAGAGATCAGCCACACTCCAAGTTCAATGACAACAGCAAAGGCCACTCACATGAATGCCTTCAGGAATGGTGTAGACTTTACTGCTCTGAGACAAGGAGGAGGAAGCTCACACCACACCAACACCCACACCCGCACGTGCACATGCACGCACGCTCACACACACACTCACACACACACATGTGCATGCTCACACATGCATGCACACACACATGCACGCTCACACATGCATGCTCACACACACATGCACACTCACGCATGCTCACACACATGCATGCTCACACATGCATGCTCACACACACACATGCATGCTCACACACACACATGCATGCTCACACACACATGCACGCTCACACATGCATGCTCACACACATGCACACTCACACATGCATGCTCACACACATGCATGCTCACACACACACTCACACACAGCCCGCTGCAAGCAGCTGCGAGCTTCTGCACCAGGCATTCCTGTTCCCTGCTGGTTCCCGTCTCTGACTCACCAGTGGCAGGGAGGGGAGACCACTTTCTTTTCCCTTTCCCCCTCCTCCTCTCTCTCAGTGTACCACCCTCTCCAGGCAGATCCCAAGGCCTCTTTGCCCTGTTTTGTAGAATGCTCAGAGCGAGCCCTTTCCCACCCCGTGCTCCCGGGAAGCAGTTAGGGCCCACCCCACAGTATGGGCAGCCCTTAGACATCCCTCTCTCCTCTTGTCCCTTGTCCCTCTCCAGCCGTTTGGTAAAATATTCCTTCCTACCATTAAAATGCTCCATTTAAGAGGAAGTCCAGGAGATGCAATTTCTCTGGGCTGCCACCTCCACGTCGCCTGCCTTCCCTACAAACTTGCTTTCTCCTTCCCTGTCCATGGCTCCAGTTTCTAAGACTCACTTCTGTATTCTTTTTTTGTTTATTCTTCCTACTTCTCTCCTTGAAAGCCCTTCTTCAGTCTTCTCTGTGTGCCTGCATCCTGGGTCAGCTGTCTGTGACTAAAACAAAAAAGGATGAAAATACTGTCTGGCCGATTGCTTGGGCTCAGATCCAAGCGTAGACTCAGGCCTGTTATGTAACATGTGCCTCAGTTTCCTCCCTTAGGAAATGGAGGTAATAATAGGGTCATTGTGAGTTCAAATGACTTTAAGAGTGTGGAATTGAGCCTGGTTCATAGGAACACGAGTTTGAGGTTGTGGTTGTGATCATTTCTACCACTCTGAGACTTCAACCATTCATGGGGCTCTGGCTGCAGCATTTGGGAGTCCTTTTCATGTCACAAGCCCCTGCCCACTGCCCTGCCACCTGCATCAGGAGCTCACACCCCAGCGACAATCTGCTCCTCCACGCCAGCGCCTGCTGTATCGGCAGATGGAGCTGTCCCTGGGAGGCCTGCTGCAGCTGTGGCCGCTGCCTCAGTGACATTTCCCTCACAACCCCAACCTGACTGAACTTGGCATTCTATGCACACATCCCCCTTAGTGCCCACGGTCACCTGATGGGAGCCTGCTTGACAGTGGGTGAAGCAGGCCAAGCGCGCTATTTTCTTCATTCCACGGGGCAGGGGACAGTGGCTCTCCATTCTCCACCTTCCATCTCGCGACCCTTCACCAGCGTTCACCAGAAGATCTGTGGCCTGACACCTTAAACTTGTACTTGGTCCCGGTGTCTCCCGAGATGCTTCTTTCCATGTGTTCATCTCTTTCCAATGGGACCCACACCAGCTTGGGGCACACGGGGATGTCCCATGACCTCCCCAGCCCACAGTTGTTGAGGAGCTTGTGCGCTATTTTCTTCATTCCACGGGGCAGGGGACAGTGGCTCTCCATTCTCCACCTTCCATCTCTCGACCCTTCACCAGCGTTCACCAGAAGATCTGTGGCCTGACACCTTAAACTTGTACTTGGTCCCGGTGTCTCCCGAGATGCTTCTTTCCATTTGTTCATCTCTTTCCAATGGGACCCACGCCAGCTTGGGGCACACGGGGATGTCCCATGACCTCCCCAGCCCACAGTTGTTGAGGAGCTTGCCACCCACTTTGGTGCCTGGCTGACAATGCAGTACCTGGTTCTGCATTTAGCTCCCTCTGGGGCTTGCTTCAGGCCAAGTGAAGGTCTTTTCAGCAAATGCATCAAGCTGCGGCCCACTCAGTGACACCAGAGTGGTCCTCCCTCCACACGGCTGGATCCTGGGGGTAGGGGGAGCAGGGTCGTGGAGCCAGAAGCGGGGATCATCCTAGCTCCCATGGTCTGGAATACCTTGCTAAGGTGTGTGGACTTTATGGGCAAAAGGAAATCTTTGACAGTTGCGGGGGTGGATAAAATGATGTCCCTAAGTGTGGTGCCTGTCATCTTTTGACTTGAGCACAGATTGATTTGAAATGTAGCTTCAAAGAGTAAGTTTAACACATCAGGTCTGTGTTTCCAATGTGCTCACAGCTACGTCAGTTCAGATAACCTCAGAGTGGACTTGATTGAGGAGCAGTTCCAGGAGGACTTTGTGTCTATCAATCACTTCTTGCCAGATGACAAGGTGACCGCATTACACCAATCGGTGTATGTGAGGTGAGTGGTTAGGCGATGCTGTTGTACGCACAGGTGTCAATTCATCTGCTGGATTTCTGAAGCTGTGATGTGCAAGAACCTAACCCCAAACCAGGCAAATATGGCCCAAGGAAAAAAGGAAAGGACACATAGTAGCAGGGTAATCATGATGTGCGTGTGATAAGTGCAGTACGGTGCCTGTCACGTAGCAGGAACTCCAGGTATGTTTTGGGAATGGAAGGAGATAAGCAAGAGGAAGGAAGGGAGGAAGGAAAGAAGGAAGGGAGGGAGGGAAGAAGAAAGAAAACATGAAATTAAGAAAGAAACTTTCCCTTCTTGTTTACAAAGTACTCTAACATTCACCAGTTACTCTACGTGTCCCCAGCGACTCGTGGTGGGGGCAGAATCAGCTATCCTTAAGTAAGAGTCGGGCACCTAAAACTGAGACGGTCATCTGCCTTGTCCCAGTAGACGGGGAGCAGCAGACACAGCCAGGCATCCTAAATCCAAGTTCCAAACTCTCTTCCTGACACCATGGGCCAAACTCCAAGATGTGTGTTCTCTGCTCTGGGAAGAACGGGCTTGTCAGTCTGTCTATCGTGGAATGAACAAGCCCCTTGGGACCCACATGCAATCCAGACTGACAACTCATCTCCAGGTCCTAAATTCTCAGTCTGGTGACACCAGCTTCTCTTGCATGATGAAGCTGGGGCTCTAACGGCAGAAAAAGTTACAAATATTTGGGGATCCCTTTCCCTCCGTTATAAGGAAAGCACATGCCCTGGTCTGCATGTGTGTAATGGACTGGGGTGGGGGAGTGTGTGTCATTCTGGGGTGATCACATCTCACTGCTCCCAGGAGGAGTCCTCTCTGAGGTGTGTGAACCCAGACTGAAGGGGTCCCAGAGAGCCTGCCACACTGTCCCCCCAGCCTTCTGTGTCCCCTAGGGTCTAGCATGTGAAGAACATTGGGGTAAATGGTCACGCAAATGACACCAATGTGTGTTTAAACAATATTTCTCCCTGTGCATCTCCCATCCTCTGCCATGTGAAGCTTAAAAATACTGAGCAGCCCACCACACACACGCAGTACGTCACTGCTGGTCAAGTGTTTTACAGTGAATTGCGGGACCTCACTCTCACCGTTAGCTGTTTTTTGCATAGACTGAAATTGTAATCTATATTCAGGAGCAGAAGAAATAGTTTATTTTTTCCCTTATCCTAAGGTTAAGTTAAAAACGTGTTCATTTCACAGGCCTGGAGTATTTTTCATGAAGCCTGCTCTCTTTCCACTCTAGGGAGGGGTGTGCCTCGGGTCGTGTGGTTACCTTGGCGTGCATGGGTAAGAGTTTGAGAAACGCAGAGAAAAAAGGGGTGCAAGTGCTCGCCTGCACCCCTGTCCCCCAACTCCCCAAGGACGGCTGAGTCCCTTCCTCTGTGTGCCCCCACCTGATGGAAGAGGGGAGCAGCATCAGCCTCTCCTGTCGGTGGGCGGGGGAAGGCAGCCCAGCAACTTCTCAGCAGAGGACAGGACCGACTGTCACTCTATAGAATTTCCAGGGAAGGCACCCTGGGTTCCTGGAAGAGGGGGAGTTCACGTTGCAGGGGTGGGGTCTTGCAGTAGAGGGGTCGGGCTGCGGAAGGCTCTTGCCTGCTCCTGTTGGGGAGCTGACTGACATCCCTGTGTTGTCATCATCCAGGGGTGGGGTAGGCTCCTTGCTCCAAAGGGCTCTTCATCCCCCACCACACCCTGCCGTCCTCAGGCCTCCCTGTGAGCCTGTGCCCACCTCTCACCCTGAGCACCCCCCTGCTGTCTTAGAACTGCTGTGAGCTCTGGGCGGGTGGCAGTGATGTTGGGGGACAGAGGAGCAGGTCCCCGTTGTGACACCATTTCCTCCAGAAGGGTGTGCAGGATCTGCCCATAGCCCTTGCTCTCCCTCTGCAGTCTGTGGTCTGAGGATGGGTTACAGCCCGCGCATCGTTGGTGGAAACATGTCCTCACTCGCGCAGTGGCCCTGGCAGGTCAGCCTTCAGTTCCAGGGGTACCACCTGTGTGGGGGCTCCATCATCACGCCCCTGTGGGTCATCACAGCTGCACACTGTGTTTACGAGTGAGTGCTCCTGATCTCCTGGGTGTGGCCCCCATCTTCCTGGGCCCCTGCCCAGTTCTAGGGCATATGATTTGGGTGGAAAGCAGCAGGTCCAGAAAGCAGCAGACAGAACGACCACCACAACTAATGTCAGCTGGGGAGGCCCTGCCCTCCTCACCACAGACCTGTCACCCTCTATGGGGAGTGACCAGTGATCCTGAGCTCATTTTAAGGATTTTAGACCTGCAGCCCATACAGAAAAGGTAGAAAGAGGAGGAAGGAAGCTCTTGTGCAGGAGGAAACCCACAAAAACAAAAGGACCTAGACCTTCCCGTAGTTAATTCCAGAAGAGCCTGTTATGACTGAGACCGGGTAGGATGGAGCAGGGTGGGGTGGGGAGCTACAGGTGTGTTGGGGGGGCATTCATGTAGTCTCCCTTCTTACACTCTCAGGAGCTTACAGTGTAAGAAAACCACAGAAAAGTCTTCCATATGCAGTGTTAATTCACCCTGCCATTTTTACCTCCTGATTTGGTTACTGTCTGATGGAGAATGAGCGCTGATACTCCCTTGCAATGATCTAAATTGAGCTCAGTTCTCAATGCCAAGAAGACCTATGAAGGACAGAGAGTGAGGTCTGTCCAGGAATACCTGGGTGTGAATCTGTGTTTCTGCAGGGCATGGGAGCCATGGTGAGATGTCTAGCATGCACAAGCAGGAAAGGGGCCATCTCTTGCCTGATAACATGTCCCGCCACCTCCCTGGGCTCTCAGGACACCTGAGGACAATGGGTTGAGTGGTTTGATTTTCCTTGTGATTTACCTCTTGGTCTTCTTGTTTCAGTCTATACCTCCCCAAGTCATGGACCATCCAAGTGGGTCTAATTTCCCTGCTGGACAGTCCAGCTCCTTCCCATTTGGTGGAAAAAATCATCTACCACAGCAAGTACAAGCCAAAGAGGTTGGGCAATGACATCGCCCTCATGAAGCTGGTCGGGCCACTCACGTTCAATGGTATGCTGGGTTTCTGTGTTGTTCTGTTGATTTTCATTTGCTTCAAGAGGATTTGTAATTGCTTGTTGGAACATTTTTATGATGGCTCCTTTACAATCCTCATCAGATAATTTCAACATGTGATTCGTGTTGGCATTGGCATCAGTTAATTATCTTTTCTCGTTAAAGTTGTAGGATTTTTCTTGTTCTTGGTATGGTAAGCATTTTCAACTGTATCCTGGACAATTTGGCTATTTCATAGGGTGACTCTGTGTTCTACATAAATTTTCCATTGTAGCAGGTGGCTGTTAGGTTTTGTGAGACAGAGAAGAGAGAGAGACCCAAGCCGGTGTCATTTCAGCCAAGAGCTTTATGTCCACTAACGTGGAGGGATGACAGAGCCAGATCAGTTCCCCCAAACCAAGAAAAGCAGGAGGTTTATAAGACTTTTAGGGAGGGTTCTGACAGAGTAACAGGCAATTTTGAAATCAGTGGTAGGCAAGGTGACACAGCCCTTGTGGCCTGATAACATCTGGTAGGTTAAGTCATAGCCTCCCCGATTAGCCACTATCTCAGTACAAAGCATTCCAGCCCGAAGCCTGCTAGATGCAGCCCACAAGAGGTTCCCTTGATGATAATGGTCATGTTTACCCCTTCCCAGGAGAGGAATCTCAGTTCCCGGAGCAGAAAAGGGAAAGGGGTGGGGAAGAAGGGGGAAAGTTGCTCAACCTGGCTGTGCTGAGGTTAAGCCAGCCATGAGGCCTGATAGTGGCCACCCTGTTTGGATTTAGTTCGGAGTTCCTGGCCTGCTTTTGTGGACCATGGTTCAGATATAATCTAATTTTAGAGCTTTTGTGGCTCTACTTTGGTCTGCTCAGTTTGTCTGGTGCCACTTTCTCCCTCCCTGGGGCTACCTGGAGGCAGAAAGAGCTTCTCCAGGTCAGGCGGCCTGGTGCCTCTAGGAGGTGGAAGAGAGTCACCAGCCTGTCCACAGGAACAAAGAGCACTTCCCTGTCCAGGAGCTTGCTGTGGTGTCCCCCTCCACCACACCACCCACCTGCCCTGTCTCTGGGTAGAGGAGTGCAGTCCCAGCCTCAGCTGAGAAGCAGAGCCTCGCCACTGGCAAGCTGGCTGTGGCGATTTCCTCCACTTCTTTACAGGTGGAACGACACTGGCATCTCCAGCTTCCTGGAAGTGCTCCAGAAAGTTCTCTCCCAACAAGCGGCTGAGTTCAGCAGGCTCCAAATGGCTCTATTTCTTTAAAAAAGTCAATTCCTGCCCTCTGGATGAGCCTACTCCTAAATAAATGAAAGCTCCCTTTTCCTTCCCAGGGGATACAGGCAGGTTGAGGAGCAGGCAGAGTACAGTGAAGCAGATGAATCCTCGCTTCTTGGAGGAGAATCTGGCAACAGACCAGCTGCAGATTTGACAGCCAAACCTTCAGGGTGTTTATCACATGGCACACATAATACTCTGAAACAGAGAAATTGTTATGTTGGTGCTACTTTGCTAACTATTATTAAATATATCTGGTTACAGGAAATGAGGAGGCAGCACTTGTACATTGATAAAAATTTAAATGAGTCCCCTTATTCTTTCTCTACCTTCCTGTTATTGTCCTACCCAGAAAGCTTAGCGCCTCTCTGGTGGCACATGCATGACACTGTCTCTGGTGGAGGGTGTATGTGACACACTCCCCCACATGGGCAGATGTGCTGCTTCTAGGTGTCTCAGAACAGCAGGAATGCTCATGGAATGAGGTTCTGTAAAGGACGTATGGATCCATGGTCTGGACCAGGAGTGGGTGAGCTCTAACTTGCTGGCCAAATCTGACCCATCGTTGGTTCTGGCAAACAGCATTTTATTGGCACGCACCAGACCCATCTGTGTTCCTCTTACCTGTGGCTGCTTATGTGCTCAATGGCAGGGTTGGGTGGCAGTAGCAGAAACTACATGGCCCACAAAGCCCAAAATATTTACTGTTTGGCCCCTTACAGAAAAGGTTTGCCGACTCCTGGTCTAGACTCATTTGTGTTGCCTCTGTGGAGGGCTGTTTTGTAGTTGTAAGAGTTCTGGGTAGTGAGCTGGGGGTGGGGTCCCCTCTCTGATCTAATTGCCTTTAAATAAGCAAGGTCTGGACCTTTCCCTGGGAGGAAGTCTTTGCTCCTCAGAGACTTAAACGCCCATGAGATTAATTGATTTCGCGACTACTGCTTTGATCGAATTGAGAGTTGCTGTCCCCCCTTTAAACAGAGATGATCCAACCAGTCTGTCTGCCCAACTCAGAAGAGAAGTTCCCTGATGGGAAACTGTGCTGGACATCAGGATGGGGGGCCACAGAGGATGGAGGTCAGTGATCTGGAACGAAGATTCTGAGCCTGGGAACCCAGAACCTTGAGGGCTGGGTTGGGGAGGGGCCCCTCCAATGTCCCAATGTGCTATTCTTATGGGGATACCCAGATGTCCCGGCCAAGCGGTGTGAGTCCACTGTTCAAAACATGCAACCAGCTGAGTAGCTGTGGGTCTTGCGTCATGGTTCCATTTGTCTTGGGACAGTGTGAAACTGCAGACCTCCTGGGAGAGAAAACACGCAGAACCGTGGGCACCCCCCGGTGGAGAGACCCTCACTAACACATTCGTGGGCCCCTCCTTGCACCTCCTTTACCTGTCCTCCCACCCTGTTTCCCAAGTACAGACAGAGCTCACCTAGTCAACCCACCCAAGCCCTATTCAGAAGTCACAGATTTGTGACTGTGAGGACTTTTTGCCTAGTGGGACTTTGGAAGATTTCTGAGGGGTCTTCAAAAAGTCCATGAAAAGATTCATGTTATTGTATAATTCTATTTTTCCACAAACTTTTTGAAGTATTGTCGTATTTTGTCCTACAAAGGACAACTAGAAAAAGTAACCAAATGGGATCTTTTTGCTATGATAACAGAAGTAGTAATGTAATTAACAACAAAAAATGCAGGTGAACCTGTACCGCCCTTCATCAGTGCGGGGCACAGACGTGCCCACAGTCCCTGGGTTTCCCACAGTTGCTTTCCCTGTTAGTGGGAACAGCGTTAGTTTCCTGGGGTTGCTGTGACAAATTACCTCAAACTAGATGGCTTGAAACAACAGAAATCTATTCTCTCGCAGTTCTGGAGCCAGGAGTCTGAGATCAGGTGCTGGCAACGGTGCTTCTGTCTGAGGCTCTGCAGGAGCATCTGTCCCAGGCCTCTCCCCCAGCCTCGGGGCTCCAGCTGTCCCTGGACGTCCTTGGCTTGTAGATGCACCATTCAGCCCCAATCTCTGTCCTCACTTAGCCTTTCCCCCTGCCTCTGTATCTCAAATCTCCCTCTCCTTTGTCCTATGAGGACACCAGTCATTGGATTTAGGGCCCAGCTTAAATGCAGGATGATCTCATCTCGAGATCCTTACCATAATTGCACCTGCAAAGACCCTCTCTCAAATAAAGTCAATATTCTATGGTGTCCAGGAGACATGTTTTTGGGGGCCCACAATTCGACTCAAATCAGGAAGTTCAGTAGTTTCCTCTTGAGACCTACTAGATGAACCTGCCCCTCCTGAAGGCACGTGGGGGCTTACCCAGATCCTCAGGGTCTGTAGGGCCTTGCTGGCCCACATTCCCACCAGCCCACAGTGGTGCCCACCCTAGCTGGGGCACCCATAGCTCTTTTTAGACTCAAGCTCAACCACTTGGCCATCAGCTCTGTGCTGACATGGCTGGTCCTGGGGCCTCAGCTCCACCAGAACCAGCATCCTTGGTTGGTGGTGGAAGCAGGGACCCAGTCGACGCTCCCCTGCCTCTCATGGTGAGTTCTCATGAGTTCCCATTTGGGGTCATCCAGCCTTCCAGAGTGATTCTAATAATGCTGGACTCTGCAGAGGAGGAACTGGAGAACAGCCCCTTTCCCCTGGGAGGTTCTGGATCTCTCCACAGAGATGCTCATCTCCTTGTTATTAAACTGCTCTGTCCCCCACAGAGGTCCAGTGACCTCTTTCCCCGGGGAGTCTTACAGGACTGGCTGCATCCTTCTGCCTGCATTGGAAGCTCCCCCTGACAACACGCTGAGCTCTGTTTCACCATGTACCAGGCATGGAGCTGAATGTCTCATGTGACACCCTTTGTCCCACAGAGCAGCCCCTGCAGGGGGTGTTGTCATCATGCTCATCTTGTGGGTGAGGAGACCGAGGCAGAGGGCCCCAAGTGCCCTGTGGGCTCACATGCCAGCTGGTGCAAGGGCTGGGGTCCATTTTCATGCCCCCCACCCAGCCCTTCTCCATGTTTGTTCTCTGAGAATTTGGAGATGGTTATTTCATTGCCTTCACTGAATCTTAGTGGGTGAATAGCGACAGTACGACACTCAGCCTGATGTCATGATCAGGCAGTCCCTGTTGAAAGTGTGGTCAATGTGCGGGAGGATCTGGGAAGCCCCTACAGACCAACACTCACTGCACCCTGCACACCTGGACACACCACCTGCCAACACATGCTAGACAGACAGAGGGCAAGGCGCCTCCTGCTTTAAGCCTATAAAACATTAAGATACTGGGTCACAAATAGTCAAGTTGGAGGGGTCGATCCTGTTGGTGTGGGTGGTGAGGTGACCCACTGCAGGTTGTTGCCACTGCAACAAGTCACCCCAAACTTAGTGGCTTAAAATGACTGGAGGACATTTATTATCTTACAGTTATGGAGGTTGGAGGTCTAAAATCAGTCTCAGTGGGCTGAAATTAAGATGTTGGTGGGCTGTGCTCCTTCTGGAGGTGCTGGGGGAGAATTCATTTCCTTGCTTTTTCCAGCTTCTAGAATCCGCCTTGGCTTGTGGCCCCTTCTTCCCTCTTCAAAGCCAGCAGCGTTGAAGTCTTCACATCTCTCAGGCTCATCTCAGCTTCCGTCATCACGTCTCCCTCTCTGACCCTCCTGCCTCCTTCTTTTCCTTATAAGTACCCTTGTGATGACATTTAAGGCCCACGCGGGCAATCTAGAGTAATCTCCCCATCTCAAGATCCTTTGTTTAATCTCATCCACCAAGTCCCTTTCACCATTTAAGTGACATAGTCTTAGGGATCAGGATGTGGATGTCATTTTTCTGCTGACCACACCATGGTTCCACCAAGAAGCTGTGTGTGTGACCTTCGTGAGCCTCAGTTTCTCTCCCATAACTGGGTTGCTCTGAGAATCAAATGGGCTGGTGCAGATCAGCTACTTTGCCTGGGATGTGCCCTGGGGAGGATGTGGCACCTTTGGGCAGTACATGGCCCTGATGTGAAGCACAGTGGCACGTGGCTACTTAGAAGGGGCAGGCTCTAGGGCTTGATGTGCTGCATCACAGGCGAGTATGCTGGTCCCACCCAGGACCACACCTGGATGCCCACCATGGCATCCTGTTGGGTGTCACGCCTCTGTCCCTCTGGTCCCCACATGTTCCCTTCTCACTGTACACCCCAACCCTTGCTTTGGAGCAGGCGACGCCTCCCCTGTCCTGAACCACGTGGCTGTCCCTTTAATCTCCAACAAGATCTGTAACCACAGGGACGTGTACGGTGGCATCATCTCCCCGTCCATGCTCTGTGCAGGCTACCTGAAGGGCGGTGTGGACAGTTGCCAGGTAAGGGGCCCTGTGACCTCTGGGGGCCACGCTGGTGGGTGAGGCTGTGGTATGGTGACCCAGCCCCTGGGACAGGCCATTCCCGGTGTGTCTCTGTGACTGGGTGAAAAGCAAATTTACAGGGCGTGGGGAGGAAATTTGCTCAAGATAGCACTTCCTTTCCTGGGTGCTAGGGCTGTGTTTCACCAGCCTCCGACTCTGCTTGGGAGCTGGTGGTGGGAGGGGTTTCATGTTGCTCCCCTCCTGCCCCATCCTCTGAGTTTGCAGGGGGTCAACAGGGGCGGAAGGCAGTGGGAACCAGTGAGTCTGGGCCTCCAATGCCACCTGGTGGGCCACAGGTCAATAGAAGCCCCTGCCCAGGCAGACACTCCGGCTGAGAGCACTGCCTCACTGCACCCAGCTGCCCTCAACCTTCAGTAGCTGGTCAGGAGACACAGCTGGAGGGGAACCACCCAGAGGGGCTAAGGGACCTGTTCTGGGGAATGCCAGAGTCAGTTCAAGAAGGGCTGCTGGGTGTGAGAGGCATCCCCACCCATGTGAGATATCGTGAAGAGGGGTCCCACCATGGTGACAAGGAGTGCACAGCTGTACCTGTCCCCTTGACCTCTGCTTCTTTCCCTGCCATCTAGGGAGACAGCGGAGGGCCCCTGGTGTGTCAAGAGAGGAGGGTGTGGAAGTTGGTGGGAGCCACCAGCTTTGGCATCGGCTGTGCTGAGATGAACAAGCCTGGGGTCTACACCCGCATCACCTCCTTCCTGGACTGGATCCACGAGCAGATGGAGGTGGGTGCAGCATGCTCCCCCAGCTCAGCCGTCCCCGCATTCAGCCGCTAGCATCCTGGAGGCATTGAGCAGGTGTGGGTCCCACGGCTGTGACTGCATAGAGCCCCGCTGCGCCCATGGGTGGCAGACTGACCTGCCTCACCAGGCGGGGAGTGAGAGGCTGTGCGTGCAGGATGGCATGAGCAGGTGGTGTGACCGGGGACAGGGGCTGAGGGGTGGCTGAGGACCCCGAAAGCCCTCTAAGGAGCTGGAACCTTGCTGAGAGCCAGGGATGGGACAGAATCTGCAACAGGAGGGGCTTAGGCAGCTCTGCTTTAGGGGGTCCTCCCTGGAGGGGGAGAGGTGGAAGGGACGGGTGGGGCCTGCAGGGGGACCCTAGTCGCTAAGGCTGGCCTGGTGGGACTGGGCAGGCAGGGGGACCCCTGACATTGCTGGACACCCCGGGGGGCAGGGAGAGCCCCCCTGCGATGGTGGATGGGCAGGGCCTCAACTTCATCTCAGACTCCAGCTCGAGTCTTGCATCACTCCTTGGACCACTTTCGAAGACTTCTTATTTTCCCCCCTAATTGAGGTGAAATTTCCGTAACTTACAAGTCACCATCTGAAGGTGAACAGTTCAGTGGCATTCGACGCATCCACAGTGTAGTGCAGCCACCACCTCCATCTTGTCATCCCCAAGTAAAACCTGCACCCTTAGTACTTACCCCACTCCCCCACCCCACCCCAGCCTCTAGCAACACCTGCCTTCTGCCTCTGTGGGTCAAAGACTTTTCAAAATGTTTCTTTAATTTGAAACAATTGTCTAAGAAAGGACATCAAACCGTTAAAGTGCCTCAAGCGTAAATTCCAGTTCTTCCTCATTGATTTTTCTTTCTTTTTTTCTTTTTGCTTTAAATAAGAAACTACACAGTGTTCTCATCTCCCTCTTCCCAGGGGGAGGCCCAGGACTGGGGCTTAGCCTGGTCTCAGCTCCTGCCCTGGCCCTGGCCATAGTTCCTGCCCTCAGGGCATGGTGGCGGCTCAGGGCTGGCCAGTAAGTGCTGGAAGACAGGCCCAACTGAAGATGTCCCCAATGCTCACTTGCTGTGGGACTGTGTGCCACATGATGCTCCTCAGTACGAAATTCAGCCAAACCCACTTGCCCCCTAAAGAGTGTCTGGTGGGCGTTTCCGTGAGCGACCTCTGCCCTGCAGAGGCCAAGGGCACCTTGGGTGGGAGCCTGGGGTACAGACCAGCTGTGACCACGTGTGCACCAAGGGCAGAGGTGGAGGCAGGGAGGGGCGGGTCCTCTGCATTGGGCTGCAGAGACATGCAGGTGGCCCTGCAGCGCTGGCTCACAGGACACAGCCCCATGTGACCCAGCAAGTATCATGAAAGGCCAGCTTGAAACATTGAAGGGTACAGGAAGTCAACTCCCGATTCTTCAAGCTGGCAGGAGTGCTGGGGCGGGCCAGGGATAAAAGTCACTCTGGGGAGCCTCCTGATGATGGTGGGAGGATGGAGATAATGTCGTAGCCCATTTCCTCCCAGCATGCCTGGTGGCAGTCCTGCACCCATCCCTGCGTTACAGCTGAGGGAGCCCGCTTACAGCCCCCACCCCCCTAGCTAACAGGGCAGAGTGAGTCTGACCAGACCCGTGACTGGAGGATAATGTCGTAGCCCATTTCCACCCAGCATGCCTGGTGGCAGTCCTGCACCCATCCCTGCGTTACAGCTGAGGGAGCCCACTTACAGCCCCCACCCCCCTAGCTAACAGGGCAGAGTGAGTCTGACCAGACCCGTGACTGGAGCCCAGCATGACTTTGCTCAGTGGGATGAACAGATCTCAAGCTTGAGGAGCATAAGACTCCCCTGGCTGTTTGTTAAAACTGACAATTCCCTGGACCCTTCTCCAGAAAGTCTGATGAGGGGTCTGGGGTGAGGACCCTGCTGATGTGGATGCACGGGCTCTTCAGGCACACTTGAGAAACACTGGTACATGCCATATGGCTCCCTGCAAGTGTGTAGGAAATTTCCACACTTGTCAGGAAGCTGTGCACGGGGAGCCCGGTCTGCAGCTGGCTGGCCTCACTGAGCCAGGTGGTCGGTGCTCTCTACAGAGCATCTTAGTCCTCAGCCATCTCTGACTGGCTGAGGGGCTGCAAGAAATGCCACTGGCAGAGACATGCCCTTTCCCAGATCTCTCTTCAGATGTCCTGGGAAGACGCAGAAGAGGTGTCCCTTTCCACAGCCTTTCCAGCAGGTCTGCGCTTTGGTTGTTCCGTCTGAGCCTCACATCTGCGGGGAATTGTCCTCTTTGTTAGCTGTCACCCTTGTGTTCAGCCAGACATTTTCTCTATCTGATTGGGGCTTAAAACAGTTGTTCTGACTTAAACCAGAACTTAGGAACAGGAGACTAAGACCTACAATGTCCATGTGGAAGTTATGGAACATTCTCAGGGCAGTGATGTGTTCAGCCAGACATTTTCTCTATCTGATTGGGGCTTAAAACAGTTGTTCTGACTTAAACCAGAACTTAAGAACAGGAGACTAAGACCTACAATGTCCATGTGGAAGTTATGGAACATTCTCAGGGCAGTGATGAAAAATGCAGAAGCACTGCTATTGGGGACTTTCTCACACCTCTCTGGGGTCTGCACAGACCTGGCACACCCATTCCCCCACCCCCCACCCCCCCACCTGTCAGAGGCCAACCTTATCCCTATTAATGGAGAACAGCCCAACGCTTCGCCAGGGTAAAGTACAGGTACCCACTTTGTCATAGTGTCAGAGAGATGTCTTGAAGTGCCAAAAAAGGTAATACCTCTGTTTTCATTTTTAGAGGGACCTGAGAACTTGAAGTGTAAGGGGACAAGCTGCCACCTGAGTCCCTGCAGCGAGGGAGACAGCCTGACACTTCCTGGACTGCTGTGTGGGAAGGTGGACATAGGCAAGGCCTTCAGGGCTTTGCCTTCTGACACTAGCTGCAGCGCCAAAGGAGGAGCGTCCTTCATCCCCTGACAGACACTGGGCACAACCTGCTTCTCAGGCCTCTACCCAGCCACTGGGGCTTTGGGCTAACATGACCTTGAAGCTCCTTTCTGACCTTCACTAAGAAAAGCAGGAACTCCTCCGAAGTGCTATCTTTCCCCACATGTCCATTTGGTTTTCTCTCTAGGGGTCATGCAGAATTACTGACAAGACAGGCCATCTCACATGCAAAGCAATGACGGTCACTTGGTACAAATGTGCTGGGCAGAACTGCAGGAATGTGATCATTGTAGATGTAGCTGTCTGCACATTTTTATCTCTAGGGACCGGAACCAAACCATAATTTTCTGCTTCCAAGATCTCTTTCCACACATGGGGAACTTGATCTATGAGTGACTAGTTTGAAGGCTTATTTTATTTCTTTGTAGCATTTGGTGCTCGAAGTATTATTGTCCCCTGCTTCCAAAAAACATATGTTCTCTTAGCTCATTCATTAGCTGGTCTTGTTGGAATGAATTCTGATTGCTTGTGTAAATCGAAATCATGTGCTTAATTTGAGAGATTTGATTGCTTTGGTCTCTCCTATATACATTGTGGATTTTGCATTTTTCTGTTAGAACAGGTTTCTTGGCAGATTAGATTAGAATGACCTCATATTATATCACTAGGCTCAAAAGCAGAGCAAGAAAGTACAAAGTACTGGGATAAGAAAGGCCCACCGGAGCCCCACCCAGTGGGTACTGCAGTCAAATAGAGCAGAGGTTACAGGTAGTCGAGAGGCCAGAGGCTCCCCAACTCCTCAGGCGGGTCTGTTAATCTACCCTGCACCTGCAGTCCCTGCATCACACACTCATACAGGAGGGTTACTTGGTAAGTAATTACTCGCCACTGGTGCTTTGTCACAAATTGATGAATCCGAATATGAATCAGTTGCTTTGCCTTGTGGCAACAGTGGACAAGAATAGTGAGTTTAAAAGAGAGAGCAGAGGAGGGTCCAGGGGCGAGGGAGAGAGGTCTCCAGGGGGCGACTCTTGCACGTGTGTGAGATGGGGATGGAGACAGGGGACAGGGAGCCAAGGCTAGCTGGCCACTGAGCAACTGTAGTCGGATTCACCCCAGCCCAACAGAGCCGCTACACAGACGACTGTGTGTGTCAGAAAGGACAGGACCATTCTTCTGTTGAGCACTTTGCCCAGCTCTCTTTGAAGGTAGTGGTAGCTCATGTACTGCAGACCCTGCTGGTGAAGAGATGAAGGATTTCCTGTGCGATCAGCTCAGCTGAGACACTCTGTGGGGTCAACTGACACGTATTTCCAACTGCTGTCATTTCATACTTCCCAGGTGACTACAGAGTTTTGTGAAGGTGTGTTTGACATCTTACCATCATCTTTCAGGAGGTCTTGGGGCGTCCTACTGGCGTGCGGTTAGCCAGCCTGCACCGTCGCCAGCACCATTCTCTGCGCGTCTCACATGCTCGCCTGTTTCATTTTCACAACAGTCCCATGAGACAGGGACTGTCATTATTTCTCTTCTGTCAGTGAGGAGACTGGGTATGAGAAGCTAAATATTTTCCCAAGATCGTACATAGGGCTGGCAGTGTGTCCAGGACTCGGCCAGGGTGTCAGGCCAGCAGGAGTCAAAGTGGCGTGGGGAGCCGAGCTCTTTGGCAGTTGGGTTTGAACCCTAGTGATACACATTAGTAATTCAAAGTCCTGATTAACTTTTCCCCTCTAAGGGAATGCTTGGTTTCAGTGGAGACCTTTATTGGCTCCAGGTGGAGGTTGATGGGGTGGAGCTGTTGCCCATCTTTTTCCTTTTTTGCAGGGACACAGTTTGGTACCTACCTCTTACCTGAGAGCCAGGCCAGTGAGGGAGACAGGAGAGAAAGTTGTGGCTAGGGCACTCCCAACCTGCAGCCACTTGCAGAGAAACAGCTAGAAGAATATGCTGCAGATGAGGTGGGCTGGCCCCCTTGTGGCCTGCTTGGACCTGAAAGAGCAACTGTGGGACACTCATGTCCTGAGCTGGTGAATGAGCAGAGCCCCCACGTGTGCCCAGGTGTCCAGGACAGAGTCATGGGGAGAGGAAACAGGTGCCTGCACTCTCTCTCTCTCTCTCTCTCTCTCATACTTTAATATTTGATATGGATTTACTTTAACATTTTAGAAATAATTATAGAAGACCAAACTTATAGAAAGTTTGGAAAAAAGAGTATTAAAAATTGGTCAACAACTTAAATACTGTAGGTGGCCATGGAAACCACGAACACTCCCCTCTCCTGTTAGGAGGGTTTCCAGCCCCAATCTAGGAACACCTGCTGAAGCCTGTGTCCTCCACTCCTCTATGCCTTGAGTGAGGAGGAACATCTCAGAAGGTGCAAGCCCCTGAGCTGCTGCCCTGTCACTGAGACCAGTGTAGGAGCTCACTGGTGTGTGAAGAAGTTGGTGGTGTGAGTGCAATTGTACTGGCCTCAAGGTCAGAGGTGACAGAGGCAGTGAAAGTTCAAAGGCTCCCGCTGCCATGCGGGTCCAGAGAAGTGAGAATTCCCAGTGTAGTGACACTGGGGCTGTGAATGTGTGTGAGAACTACACCCTGTTCAAATGGGCAGGTGCAAATTCCTGATGACCGAGGCAACAGAGAGTGAGCCCGCAAGGGGGAGATACACCCATGACCAAAAGAATGTTTCTTCACTCTGCACAAATCTTAAACATCAACTTCAAATCAATTCATTTAGCCAGAGTCACTCGTTGGGCTGTGTTTTCTCCCCACAGCGTGAAGAAGAACTCACTGAACTTGCTGCCATCTAGCACGTGGGACAGTCTTCTGTGTGTGTGACAGGCTGTGCTGGCGAGCTTGGCACGTTTGGCCATGGCTGTCTTCTGCTCGAGAGCTGCTTCCTGAGATGTGCTGTGTTCCAATTCACTGGCCCCTGCTCAGTTGCCTAAATGGCCTGAATTTTCCCTGTTTATGGACCCATGGAGAGAAATCACTTTTTCTTTGGGGCTCCACAATACATGCGTGTGTGCTGCGCACAAACCAGTTTGGGTGTGAGAAATTTGCACCTGCCCATTTGCACAGGGTGTAGTTCTCACACACTCGCAGCCCCAGTGTCACTACACTGGGAATTCTCACATTACACACATAGCGGAACTTCCACAGCAACGCAATCGTCTGTTTCCGAGCCTGTCTCCCATTCCAAGCTGGAGCTGGTTGAGGAGGGGGCCGCATTCTGTTCACCTGTGTTTTCTAGCCCCCGAGCCAGCATCGGGTACCCAGAGACCCAGGAGAGAAGGAAAAGTGATGAGATGAAATACACGTGCCACCTAGATGGATGTTACTAGTAACCTAATGTTATTGTTTCATAAACATGAAACATACCATGGTTTATTTTAAAAGTCTCCATATTTATCCACTTAAAAGTATCAAAACAACTAGTCTGCATAACTGAATCATGCTCACACCCATTTCTCTGGTCTGCTCAGAGTGATGAAAATCGTGTAAAAAACACGACTCAGTCTAGTTCACAGAAAATAGTCAAAGTAACATCACTAGGGGGTGAGAAGTTACAAAATGGAGTTTTTATGTGTGTGTTTGTTTTTGTTTTAAGAATAAAAAGAAAAACACAGTGATGGTCTTTAAAATCTGTTCACTAAGAATTAAGATTCTGCCTTCAGGGTTGGGAGCTGGACTCTTCAGGCACATTTTCTCTATCAGGGCCTTTGTTTTTTTCCCCTTTACCTCCTTTCTATAAGCTTCCGCTGTCCCTCCTTTCCCTGGAGAGGGTGAGCGGTGACTGAGGGCCGCGGGAAGAGCTGAGGCTTGCTGAGCTTTCATGGGCGCATGGCCACTTGCTAACCTCTCTCTTCACTGGGAGCCACTGGTGCAAGGACACAGCACCTGCAGCTGCCACCATCCCCTCCTCCTTCCCAGCAGTCCTGGGGGGTGGGCCAGTAGAAGGGGTGATATTGTGCAGGAAATGCTCAAGTGGGTACATTATTATTGTATTAGTATATGATATTATTATTATTATTATTGGTGTTATTGTATGACACCAAGGTGGTATCAAAACTGTGTGCTGGGTGATATTGTGCAGGAAATGCTCAAGTGGGTACATTATTATTGTATTAGTATATGATATTATTATTATTATTATTATTGGTGTTATTGTATGACACCAAGGTGGTATCAAAACTGTGTGCTCACTTCCTGGAGGTGCCGAAGAAAAGGCAAGGGAAGGGACAGGAGTTGGGGACGGTCCCTAGGACCTGAGCACTTCTAGTTTATCCAGGCCACCCTTGGGGGAAACCTAGGAACTTCCCAGGCTTGTGTGGGGATCTGGGGAGGACAGCCAGTCCCACCCACTCCTCTAGGCCACTGGAAAGTTCCAGATGGGGTGCAATTCCAGACCCCGGGGGAAGCTGCCTCCTGGGCCTGTGAAATGAGTGCCTCATCTCACCTCCCTCCAGGCTTGGGGGAGGTCCTTGTAGGCAGAACTGGAGACCTGAGAGGTCTGGGTCATGCCAGAGCAGAGCTACTTTCTGCAACCACACCTGGGGGTGCCCACTGTGAACCAGCCTCAGCGCTGGTGACAGGGAGTAGGAGCGACAGGTAGGCAGGTGTCAAGACTCAAGATGCTAGAATCTGCAACCCGCTTCACCCCGAGCAGGCAGCTCCTCATCTTCCTGAGAGGCCGTCCTTCAGCTGTGAAACTATAGAAACAAGTCTGTAGCCCCAGGGCTTCCCTAAGGCTCCAGCAAGAACTACTTAGTGAGTCTTTTGGGAGTGGGGAGCTGTTGTCTCCTTGGTACAGTTACACCCAGGGGAGGGGCCTTAGGGCTGAGGATTCAGTTTAACCACTCCTGGGAGCAT